TTTGAATACATTATCTCCTTTAATTTTCACACAAAAAATTCCATGCTGTAGGTAATATTACTATTCCTCTACTAATTAAAAAAAGGCATATAAAAAGACTATTTAACAAGACCCAGAGACACAAATAGAAATGACAACTGAGATCTGGAACACACATGTCTCTAAGTTGGAGTATAAATGCTTCTTGAAACATGAATTTACTATGAACGACCAACACTAGTAGAGTTGCTAGAGAGTACCCAGAGCCCACTATTCAATGCCAGATTTGCAGGTGGAGTGGCCTTCTGATGAATGACTGGTAGAAACTGGCTCTGCCGCAGTGTTATAGCTCTGATGTCACTAAGGGGCTCATATTTCTGCTCCACCAGCTGCAGGGTGATGCAGAGAGGAAAGGAGGGATTGTTGACTCCCTACCACAGGTGATCTCCATTAGCCTACCTAGAGGAAAAGCAGGCGTCTACAAGCCCCATCTCCATTCAGACTTTTCTCTAATAATACAATTGTTATTTCCTTTAGTAGACTCACACAAAATTTGATCCTGTGCAAAGACTGATCTCTTTTATATGCATTGGTTTTATTGTTACATCACTTTTATTGTATTTTTCATTACTGTTTATCCCCCCCATACTCCTTTCTGTTCCCACCGCCTTGCCCTCTCAGTCACTACCCTGTTGTTTGTGTCCATGAGTTATTTCTCTTTGCGTTGGTTTTAAATGACAAAATAAATGGTTTTGGGGAAGAAACTCAGTGACTCTTATTGAACTTTAAAGCCATTTCATAGACATTGGGGTTGTGTATGGATGTGGGTAGCATACTTTTTATGGGCTTTACCTCCAAGAACTCCACCAGGTTTTCATGGTGAAGAGCTGGCAAAAACCTTAGTCGTGACCATTTTGAAATACTCTCAGTGCATTCTCCATAATAAAAAACTACTTTGCAGGGGAAAATACTTTACCCAAACCTTGTTGACTTGGGGAGAAGGGCAACCCAACTCTAACCCATTTATTCTTCCCATCTCAACTAAAGAAGAAAAAGTAAAAAAATTAAAAATGTGAAGGTCACAGCCCAGGGACAAAGGCCCATGGAAAGACTGAGGTCTACTCAGAGGATAATAGACTGCCTCCCCTCCCCGGTATTTACTGCTGTACCGGCAGGGCTCTAGTATCATGTCAGTGGATAAAGGCTGGAAAAGCTGCGAGACAGATACTCTGTTTAAGAAGGTATTCTTGTGGAAACCCAGAGGCTACAGGTGAGACAAAAACAAGTACTCGAAAGGAAATTGAAGCCTCAGACACCCACAGCTACGCAAGCAGTAAACACAGCGTAACTCTGCCAGACAAATATAAACTCTCACACTGAATGCCCAAGTCCTCAGTTACTATTATCCGGTATGTCATGTCCAGCTTTCAATAACACATTACAAGGCATGCTAAAAGGCAGGAGAAAGTAGTCTGAAGAGACAAAACAAAGATTTAGAACCAGACTCAGATATGGTACCGATTTTGAAATGATAAAACAGGGAATTTATAATAACTATGATTAATATGTTAAGGACTCCAGTGGAAAAGTAGAAAATGTGCAAGAGCGGGTTGGGAACATAAGCAGAGAGGTGGGAGAAAATCAAAAGGAAATGCTAGAATTGAAATCCTTCAACAGAAACGAAGGAAGATTCTGATGGGTTCACCAATGGACTGGATACAGGCAAAGAAAGAATCAGTGAGCATTATGATATGTCCATAGAAACTTTGCAAACTGAAATGCAAGGAGAAAAAAGAATGAAGAAACCCACCTAGAACAGAACACCCAAGAACCGTGAGATAATTTCAACAGATATAGTTTATGAATAATTGGAAAACCAGGAGGAGAAGAAAGAATGGAATAAATGAAAGAGTTGGTTACCAAAGAGCACATATAGGAAACTAAGAGACCACCAAGGAACATAAATAACAAAAAATCTACATGTAGGCATATCTAATGCCGGAACTAAAAGATCTCAGAGACGTGTGCTAATATCCGATTATATTATACCCACATACCATATATTATTGCTTTAACATTATAGAGACTTCTTGGTACCCATTTTTTGCTCTTTTAACATCTTTAAGCATCTTTACCAAAAATAGTATTTTGACCTAAGTCCTGGGGAAAATGTTTATTACCTGTTGAAGTGTGTGTAAAAGGAAATTAGGTCCTCAAGAAGAAATCTAGCTATGTTTGAGCCACATTAAAGCTAACATTTTAGGTGTAGAATGCATTATCATCGCAAAACCAAATGCCAAAGCTGTTGATTTTATGTTTAAATTCACACTTAAGTAATGCTTTTAAACCTGGTATATCGCCAGACTGTTTTTTCTTTGCATGTGTTCATATTCAAGGGGCAAGAATGTGCCCTATCATTTGTGAAGAAGACCCACGTGTCTAAAGCCCAATGAGAAACATGACAACTCTTAACAGTTTTCTGCAACCTACATGCGGTTGCCACACACTCCCAAGCTTCTTTACTACCTGGAAAAGTTTTTTTTTCTGTTTTCTCTTTAATACAAATATTTTTGGCACCAACTACACTCAAGTGGCCGTATTTAGTTATTTCATGATGTGAATCCTCACTACCATCTGATGGTAGCACACATCTTCAAGGTTATTGGGTTCTGGTATTAGATTGGTCTTAATATTCAGTTGAGATGGTCTAATGGGACAGACCCACTTACAAAACACTTGAAGAATCCACTAGAGGGCAGCAAAGCACAAACCAAATATAAATATGTCGGCCCTGTCCCCAGGCTGCTGTTATCACACACACAAAAATTTATATTGCAAAGATACCTTAAATGCAAAAAATTTAAGTTAGTTCAGTGATATAAAATAATTTATGTACAAATGTTTCTCCTTTTATTATGAAACTAGCATTCCAAGGTTAAAAAGCAAAATGAGAATAGAATCGACTCCAGTCCCAGCGCTTTTACTAACTGTGATTTCAGGTACAATTCGCCTCTCTGGCCCTTTTCTCTAACACATGAGTTGCACAAAATGATTCTTACTGTTTTTTCCACTTTAAAATTCCACTGTTTTGTGGTTTATGATTCTATTTTAGTAATTTTTTAATTCTGTTGTTTAGGCTTTTACATTATTTGACCAACCATAACTTGACAGATGATATTAGCGGAAATCTGTTTGGAAATACCCACTGTTATTTCACGGAAAATTTAGGTCCCTGAAATGCACTGATTTACCTTTTTAATGAAATCATACTTCTGCCCCCAAACTATTATTTGTATACAATCTAGTGACAATGGTGATTGTAATGTTTTCTGGAGTAAGATTTTACTATTTAAGCCACTGAAGTATTTTTATTTGCAGAAAAATAAAACCCAACAATCACCTTATATGTAGTGGTTTTCTCCCTTTTAAAGTATCTCCATTACTCAACCGAAGTTCTGAAATCAGGAAGGTTAATCATTTAAAACAATAATTGCTGCCTTGAAGGCCCCCCACAATGGTGACTTTGACTACAGAGGAGAGTGGGACAGGTCTGAGCTGCTGTTGTGTCGCCACTCGTTTGCACAACCCCTCCTAGCATCTGGATGCGGTTGATTTTGACAGTTAATGAATTCACAGTTACTCTTCACATGTATTGTGATACCCAGCACAATAACCCATTTTCAGTTTGTACCTCAGTTGTGACTGCAGTGGAAACTCTCTAAATAGCATTTTCCGTGAGCACCAATGGATAAAGCTGTCAACAGTTTAGTGAAAGCAGAAACCATTTCTGCTCCAAGTCTGATAATGTCATAGTTAACACCACACCACACATTTAAATATTTTTAAATAGGACATATTTTCCTCCTATATGCCTAAGAAAGGAAGAAATATGCCTGTCTAGCACTGAATGTGATGGATGAAGGAAAATCATCCTTCAAAACAAACTACACCTATTATTATCAACAGCCTGAGGTAGAACACTGTTGTGGGTACACTCTTGACTTCTTGCCCTGACATGTTAGCATATGTGGTGCCAATACGACTGGCACTCCTTTCCCTCTGGAGGCCAAGTAGTTTTCTCTTCAGAATCCTAGACTCAGCTCATCTCAATGTGCGAAGTCATTATCATGAGATGAATTACTCATTTGACTGATTTGCTTGTACACCGGAGGGTGAGGAATGCGGGGAGACTCCAACCTCAGCGTTCACAATGTTAGATAAGGCTGACTTCTCACAGCGCTAGTGAGGTGAGCCCTCCAGACACCGCGGTATCACTGACGGAGTGATGAGTACAATACTGATTGAGCGGCTGCAGATCCTGACTCTGCTCTTCATTCCGTGCCTCAACCTCCACGTCCTAGAATGAGATTGCAATGCCTACTTCTTAAGGGCGCTTTTAAGAATTACAAGTTAACACTTGTAAACTATTATGTTATTTAAGCTTAGAATATGGAAATGGTTTTAATTCCTCCAAAGCTTTTCTAACAAGATGTTGCCAAGAGTATCAGCTGGGAATTCCATCTAATTCTCTGTTGAACTTGGACAAGTCACTTCACCTCTCTAGGCCCCACGTTCTTATCTAGAGTCTTAAACAATGCGTCAAAAGTAGAAAGTCCTCTAAGATGATTTCAGGGGATGTTGCGGAATGAGCAAATGGCAAAGGGAGGAGGTTGGAGCAAATAGACCGAAAAGAAACCCTCTGGTTTTAAGATCTCATGTATCTGTCTCCCGGTATGACTGTAGGAAACAAATGAAATGCAATTAATCAGCTATCTGCATTTGGAAACCCTACTGCAGAACACCACACCATTTGGTAAAAAGAATTTTGAATGTATCTACACAAAATGTAACATCCTCTTTGGTGATAATTAATGCAGTATAATCTCGGCCAAAATTACACCACTTGAAGGCTTCCGTAGACGAATAAATGACATTTACTTTGTACAAAGTGGCTGTCAGTGTCCGAGAGTCCCCAGCAGGCAGAAAGCACCCCTCGGGTAGGGCCTGAGGCCTGGGAGCCCTCAGGGCAGCAGGAGGGAGCCCAGCAGCAGCTCTCTCTGGCCACGGCCCTTCTTCTCAGCCTGCACACGAACGGCCAGGTGGCGTACTTCGTCCTCCGAGAGTCCATCGAAGCGGAAGTCCTGGCCGAAGACCGCCTTGCGGCTCCCGGGCATCACGGTGCTGCGCTGCTGGCGTGTCTTGCCGGGTGGCTGCGGGACCAGGCTGCGGACTGCGAGGGGCTCGGCGGCTCCTCGCGTCGGGCCCTCGGGGCGGAGCCGGGGAAGGCGGAGGTGCCGGCCGGCCGGACTGTACTTGGCAGCCAGGCGCAGGGCGCCGCCGGTGCGACCCAGAGCCACGATATCCTCGGCTTCTAGGCACTCTGGCCGCGGGCCAGGGGACAACGGAGGGACCGCGGAGAGGGTCCGGGCCGACGACCCCGAGTCAGCCCCGCATTCCTTATTCTCAGCCTCGACCCCGCTGGACACAGAGCGGGCGCAGGCTAGGTCGTGACTCCCCGAGGTCTTCAGCGCGCGGTTCAGCAGCCTTTCGGAGGCGCCCAGGAGGTGGTGGCCCCGGGGACGTAGAGCGCGTGTATTGTGGGGCGCGCGGGGACAGCGGGGAGCCGTGGGGATGGTGTCTGGGGCTCTACCAGGGGTCTGGAGGGGGGCGTCTCCTCCTCCCTCGCCGTGGTAGGTGGGGGCCCGGGGGCGGAGAGCGGGCGGGGCGGCGGGCTGCAGGTGGAGCGCGGCTGCTCCGGGGTCCCCGAGGAAGAGCGACTCCTTGCGGCGGGTGTGCGGGCTCTCGAGCAGCGCGCAGAAGCCGTAGGCGGTGCGCGTACGGGGCAGGTGAGGCAGTGAGAGCGCAGCTTGGGACCGCGGGTCCCAGTCCGTGTGTCCGGCACCGTTGTCCGTCCCTGCTTTTTTCACCCAGGATTTTGGGACTGCAGCTAGGGCGGGGCGGGGCACTAGTCTCGGGGGTATGCAGAACTCAGGGATGCTGTTTGGGGTGAGGACGTTTGCGCACAGGGCGGGCGTGTTGGCGGTGGTTCTGCCGGCCAGACCCTGGAAACGCCGCTTTCCGCCCCGCAGGAGGCGCTGGGGGCCCAAACAGAGGTGTTCCAGGCACGACATCAAGAGGCAGGTGCGGGGTCTGGGCGACTCTCTGCTGGAGCTGATCTGCCTGCGATGCACAAGCGCACAAGGGTTGTCAGAGAGCCCCACTCCCAGGGCACAGCGATTCCTTTCTCTTCTACTTTTGGGGTGTCTTCTCCTGCCTCCCTCAGGACTAGGTGAACTACTTCCTCCCCCACCCCCACTAATCCTGCTGCTATTGTAAACTGCTTTGGTAACTGAAAAACAACCGTTCTTTTCTTCTGCCTCTATTCCGTAGTCTTGTACACTAAGGAGCTTATTGCTTTAATCTCGATCTGTCCTAACTGGACTAAAGTGGAAATTCTCAAAGTGTTAGCCTTGTGCTCTCCTGGTTGCCAAGAGGTGCTTTGCTTGTGCAGTTGTTTCCCGAATCCTTGGATTATTGCAATAGTCTTCAGAGAGAATTAAAATAATTACCCCCTGCAGGCCGTTCGCCTTGTCTCCCTTTTTAAGTGCAAGGAACCTCAGATGAACCACGGGGGATTAAGCAAGGGTTTGGGTCCCACGTAATGTACCTGAGGTCCAGCGTCCGATGGGTCTTGCACCCTTCTTTCTGCCTGCGGCACTGGCCTGGAGGGACTCGCAGCCTCTGGGAAATTCAAAGGGCGCGCGGCCGGTTCCGTACTAAAGTACAAGGACAGCCGGCCAGAGCCTTTATACCTGGGCCCTGGAACGCCTGCCAATGAGCGGGCTGGAGTGACACTGCTTGGTAACCTGACTCTAGGCCTCCCCCACCCAAGTTCCTTATGCCACGTGGCTGGATCCGCTGCGCAAATACAAGAGATGCAGTTCTTTTCCTCTCCTGCTTGGGGCGGGGATGATATCCTTAGAAATTCTGAACAAGTTTCTCTTTCCTCAGGTGCAAAAGAGGGCTAACTCTTTACTATATTGCAGAGTCATTGCGAGGACCCAGGGACACAGTGACTGTGAATGCACAGCACTCTACACCTGTTACTGAGAGAAGGTGAAAGTCGGTTTTGTTTTGTTCTTGCTTGATACCCTCTCCCAAATCGGGCCTTTCCGTGCCCAGCTTTTGAAATTTCTTGTTTTCCGGTTTTCTTTTCTGATTTCAAGTGATTTATCTTTGTTGATTATAAATCACTCTGGGGACGGGAACTTTATGGGGTGGCTGAAAATATTCCACATCTTGATCTGGGCGGGGTTACAGGGGTGTATCACCATGTAAAAAAATCATCTAGTACACATGAATGATTACATCTAAGAGTGTATGTATCTTATACCTCTATGTTTCAAACAAGCACAACCCACTTGAGGCCTCCAGGTCCCAGTCCTTGTCCCCTGCCAGGCCACCAGTCCCTGCTGTTTTGACCCAGGAGTCCCAGAGTGCTGATTTTTGATTGGGAAAATATATTCCTGAATGAAACCAGGCTGTTGGAACCAAACTCTGGAGGCACCCTGACCACACTGGGCTTTCCTGGGCTGTGCCTACCTGAGACCCTCTTCTTTCCTTTTGAAACTTACATGTGTTCATTCAGTATGAGGGCTGCTTCCAGCTAGCTCAGGTTAAAGGATATCAGGATCATTTTGTTCAGTATTGAGTGCTTGCTAATTCTACCTAAGATACTGCCTTGCCAATTAATTGCTTCTCCAAGAATTTTTAATAAATTGAATTCATGCAAAGGGAATTTCAGAATGGGATCGTCTATTTTTATTTACAGGATATACATACATACACAGGCAGTATGTCTGATGACTTACATAAGTCTCTAGAATTGTCACATAAACCCTGCAAATTATGATAACTCTTAGTAACTTATCCAAGTTCACATCCTAATGGGAAGTGGAGGAAATGATACATACTAGTAGTCATAAATGAGTTGTTTCTGGCAGTAAACGAATCTAATCATGTGAAATACTTAGCACTGTGTTTGTCTGGGACATGGTAAATGCTAAATACATAGAAGCAGTGATCATTATTATTAATAAAAATAGAAGGGAGGTTGTAGAATATAGTGATTAAGAAAATGGGGTCTGAAATCAAATCTGGTATTGATTCCAGAATGGTTGCTCCCTATGCGACCTTGAACAAGTTACTTAACCTTTCTAAGCCACAGTATCAAAGGTAAAATTAGGAGGTAGAGCGTTTAGGAGGTAAGGGGATTAGTGACCTTATAAGAGAGACCCATCACGGTCATCATAACCTACCTATGGAGTTGTATGAATATATAATAAGACAATGAATATAAAGAATTTAGTATAGAGACTCTGACATACATAGTGTCAGATACTTATTATTGTTACTGAAGGGAGCAAAAATTCATTAATTCAATTATTCATTCAAAGTACTATTTACTGAATACTTCCTGGGTTCCAGCCACCATACTAGGCAGGGAGGTCCAGGCTGTCCGAGATCACATTGGCTATGTTCATCTGTCAGATGAGGAATGAAATGATGATGAGGGTGAAACATGTGAATTCCATATGGCAAAGGCAGGAATGAGAAGAGACTATTGAACATTACTTATATATTTAGTCTAGGGGGCAGGGTTGGTGAGTCCCCGGGTTTACCATGACCTTGACTAGCTACTTAAGGTCTTTATATCAGCTCCATTCCTGGTCAAAATTCTGGAGCCAGTGCTAAATCTATGGGAGAGTAATTGCCAAGTTATATACTTGTAAGCCACGTGCATGTGTTTTGACTCGCCTTTTCAGGCAATTGTGCTGTTAGCTCTACGTGGGAGACCCCGGGGAACCCTTGGTCAAACGGTGAGAGTCACAATCTGAGAAGGTGGCTGAGAGTTGCTAAGAGAGCCTATGTGGCGGTGGGAGAAAGGAAAAAAGCACCAGGGCATGAGAAATGACGTGGGGGTGAAGAAATATATACTTTGGAGGGAATCAAAAATGCATGAAATGCCTCTCACACAGTGAGTGGTAGCTAACAGTTACCAGTTATTGTGATAAAGGTTTGCTTGGCTGAGGATTAGCTGATTTACACATAGATTCCTTGAAAAACAATTCTCTTTTTGGCAAAGTAAAGCAGACTTGCTTTGTTTTTGTTAACAATTCACTGTCTTCAATAACACTTTAGAGGTATTTCCTGTGTAGGATTTCTTGAAAACAGCGGAGATGTATCCTTGCATGGCTGGTCTCTGTGACCACATTTGGAAGCACAAGCCATGTGATACTTGGGAGGATGGTGTAAAAGGGTGAGGCTGTGTGCCTGGAACACACAGACCTACTCGGAGGAAGACTGTGGTCATTCTGAGCTCATAGCTATGGCCATGGGGACATCCAGTGATGGAGCTGGCAAACAGTTCTGTGGAGTGAGCACAAATAGATCACCAACCATGGAGGGCAGAGGTGCTCTTGGAGTAGAAACAACCTGAATATTTAAACAGACTTAAAAAATAATATATAGCAGGTTTAATGCCAACAGAAACAAGTAGGAGAAAGCTTACAACCCAATAAAATACTGGAATTGTGATTTATCCAACTCATTCAATAGCACTGGAGTATGGAGTAATGGGAAGTGCAGAGCAGAAGTCTTGGGTTGTAGCTCTGATGGTCACTAACTCGTGGGATTAACTTGCGGGACTTAAGCAAGACCATTAATTCTCTCTTGCCACTCAGTGTCTCCTTCTGTCAAATAAGAGGGTTGGATTAACCAGAGGATACTTGTTTTCCCCTGGTTCTAACACTTGCATGGGGCATGGGTAAGGGAAAGTTAGAATTTTTATTTTTCTATTTCTTAAAAGCTTTTATTGGTTTACTTTTTAGAGAGAGGGGAAGGGAGGGAGAAAGAGAGGTAGAGCAACATCAATGTGTGAGAGATGTATCAGTCAGTTGCCTCTTGCATGCCCCTACCTGGGCACCTGGCCGGCAAGCATGTGCCCTGCCTGCCTGGGAATCAAACTGGCGACCTTTCAGTTCGCAAGCCAGCGCTCAAGCCACTGAGCCACACCAGCCAGTGCAGATCTTACTTTTCTGTCTTTAAGAAACAGTTGCGACTTTTTAAAGTGTCCCTAATTTTGACTTTTGTTTTTAACAGAAAAGACTATTTTGCTCATCTGTGTTTATTGCTTGATCTCTCATTGCAGTTAGTTTTGTAATTGCCTTTTTTTCCTTCTTTTTTTTTTTAAGAGAAGGAGGGAGGGAGCAAGAGAGGAAGAGAAACATCAATGTGAGAACTAAACATCATCAATTGGTTGCTTCTCCTATGCACCCTGACCAGGGCCCAAACTTGCAACCTAGGCTTGTGCTCTGACTGGGAATTGAACTGGCTACCTTTTGCTTTGCTGGACAATGCCAAACCCACTGAGCCACAGTGGTCAGGCAGGGCCCTCTCATTATTCTTAGTGAGAATTAATTTAAGAACTACAATGACTGGAATGTTCCTTTCCTTTAAATAACCTCTGTATCCAATTCTGCGAGTGAGCATAAATAGATCTTTGGCTATTGAGCTACACAGTGGTGTTTCTTGATATTAGTTATAGTTTGTTTTGGATAAGGACCGTAATTTCTTCTTCAAGAACTAGGGAGGTATTCCATTGTGTAAATATTCCATGGTTGTTTTATCCATGCATTTGGATTGACACTTGGGCTGCTTCCATATCCTGGATGTAAATGATGCTGCAGTGAACATAGGGGCGCTTAAGTTCTTTCAAATTAGTATTTTGGGTTCCTTCAGAATATTCCCAGAAGTGGGACTTATGGGCCAAAAGGCAGATCCATTTTTAATTTTTTGAGGTATCCCCATACTGCTTTCCATAGTACTTGGCCCTAAAAAAGAGAGTTTTACCCTTTGTGGCAGTATGGATGGAGCTGGAGAACATTATGCTAAGTGAAAGAAGCCAGACAGAGAAAGATAAATACCATATTTTACTCATATGTGGGATCCAATGAACAAACTGAATTAACAAGCAAAATAGAGAGAGACTCAGAGAGCAGGATGATGGCTAAGTGGGGGGATGTTAGAGGGCCAGAGGGAGTGAAATTTTCCACCAGGAAAACAGACTGCTGCACATGGACAGCAGTGCGGTGACTTGCAGGGGGAGGGCGGTGTAAGGGGACTAAATGGTAATGGGAACAATACAGTAAAAAATTTTTAAAAATCTGTGAGAAAACCAACAATAAATTTTATTTGTATATATAATTAGACTTAAAAAAGAAGTTGGGAAGACTTGGGGCATCACTGTATGCACATAATAATCAATCCTTGAAAGCATACTTAAAAAGGAAAATATTAAAATTTAAAAGCTTTTAATACTATATGGTAACTGCATTGTTTGTAGTGACAGTTTTGAGCTGAATTTCCACCTTGAGATTTTCAGTTCTGTCATTAATGTTTCAAAGTAATCTTTGGTGATTTAACTATAGTTATTGAATGAGAAAAGGGTGGCAGTGGTCCAGGAGCTGGAGGAAGTTAACACCTGCTGTATAGTTTTGGGTAAATCACTGAATATTTCTGACCTTTATTTCCTATAAAATAGGATGTATGTGATGATTACATGAAAGGACATAACTTGGTATAATAATGGCATGATAGCTCATGACATATAACTGAAGAAATATAATAA